CTGAAAAACAACACAGGTCCAGACAGACTTAGAGTGACAATTTCCTCGGAACCAGAGTTGTGTGGGGAGGCCTGGCACTGCTTGGCACTGACGATGTTCATCTGTCTCTGTCCTGTTGGCAAGGCTTCAGCTGCTGATGGATTGCCTGGCACCTTCTCATGCACGTTAACATTAGCTTCATCAAGAGCAGTGTGTACAGAGTGTGAAATGTGATACAGGCAGTACCTGACACAAATGAATACTTGCCCTATTCTGGGGAGTTTCAGTGCAAAACCTCTCTCCTCATTCATCTTCCTCCCGCCTCCCCCTTCCCCATCCCCTGCTACCTAGGGACTCCCATGGACAGGCATATTGGCAGTAAACTCAGCTCAACAAAACAGCCTTGTGAAAAAGGGAAATATAACATGATCACTTCCTATTTCTTTCCCCTTTCCTCTGCATCAAAGCCTGGGCTGGCTGTCAGGAATGTTCCAAATGAATAAATAAAGCGCAGGAACCCCCTGCTTCAGAAGGAGCCTCATTCACTCACCATGAAGCTGGGCCAATTCTTTTCCTGACAGTACTCAAGTCAGCAGGCAGAGCGAGAAGATCATTCAAAGCTAATCAGTAAAGTGTAAACCTATTATGAAAGCACATTTACCCCTAGCCTCCTCCTTCCTCCAGAAAACCAATCCCCAAATCTGTGGGAATAACACATAACATACATAAAAGTCGCTATTACTTAGATCCCCTGTTATTAGGTCAGCAATGCCACTGATGAAATGCTCCCCAGAGCACTGAGCATTGGCATATAAATCCTCCAAGAAATCCACAGCGTAATTTGTTACAGCTAGAGGGCATAAGACACATTAGAGCAAAGCCTGTGTATTAGGCTCTCCCCTGTGATTCTTGAGGCTATCTCTGGTAATAAAAACCTCATCTTGATTTCTTATCCTTTGTATTGATTTCTGTCAGAGAAGACTTTTCTTAGACAAAGATGCTACTATATCTCTCTGTATAATAAGGGGATCCTTGTCTCCTTTTCTCTTCACCCCTTTTAAGATTTAATTTAGGGACGACTCTGAGGAAGATGTGTGATTTGGGAACTGTTGGTGGGTAAAGAGTGGTGAAGCCTATGATGATGGATTTAGTGTATGCAGTGCAAAACTTGAAATGGGGAACTAGAGAAAAATGGGTTTGGTCTGCAATGGCACAGGAAATTGAAACTAAAACCCCAGCTATGCAACTGCTGTATCTTAATATGAAACTCTGTTCTTAATGAACAGAATCTGTGGGAGTCAAGTGATTAAAATCCGGGCTGAGATGTATATAATCATGGCAACTGTTAATTCTGGAACACTTGTACTGCAGTATTCATATGGTGCAAAGAGACAAGGCCAAAGAGGAGTCTAGAAAGCTTTATATGAGTAATTTGCAAGGCAAATAAGAGCTCCACAGCAGTCAACACAGATAAACTGAATGATGCATGGGAAGGCTGCAAAATGCACAGTGTTCTATCCAAAATTGTTTGTTTTCTCTGTAGTTGGATTGCTATAAGCAACTGGAACACTTTCATTTATCTATTCCTTCGGGTTTTGCTTTATTTTGCTCCTTTAGAACCTACCCTCATAAGAAGCTGTTTGGCTCTTGAACTGACTGAAGACATGCCTGTTCCCTTGTGCAAAGAAGGCGGTAAATCTTCATAGCAGTTCTTACAAGTGGAGAAGTTTAATATGTGCTCATTGCTTTTGTAATCTAAGAGCAGCTGTGCTGAAAGACAATACTTGATAATTGCATTTCCTAGCACATCCCTTTCCAGTTGGAGGATAAAATATGGAAGTTTGGGTTTATTTTTTTTAGTATATACAGCAAAATTTGTTCAAAAGAATCTTTGTTCCCCCTGAACTATCTTGTTTATTTAATAGAGGATGGAAAATGGGAGACTCTGTCAAAAGGCCTAGTTACAAGAATAATTTATAAGCTACATTTAGCTGTTGATCTGGCAGCGTGGCTTAGTGCAGAGCCAGAATACATCCTGGCAGGTAATAATGTAAATCTGCAGCTCTGGCCCACTCTCCAGCAGGAAGGAGCAGGATACAACTCCTAGTTCTGCAGTGTCTCTGGCAGGCACCACACAGAATGCTTGGCTCTGCCTGACAAACATGCTCCCATGGGGAGAAATTTGCTGGGTTTAGTAATTCTTTTTAACCTATTTTGGATGCAAGTGAATGTGTCTGTGGGTAAAACTACTCTGGTCACTTAAACAGAAGCCCCCTGTGAAAAGCGTGATGGCAGGGAGCTCACTCTGATTCCTCTCAGCCCTGTAACTCACTGCATCACTCAGCCGGATTCCAATGAACTAAGCTATTGGGTGATGTCCAGCCTTTGCTGAAGCTGATGGCAGCTTTCCCACTGGCTTCACTGGGCACGGGGTTTTATCTACCACACTGCTAAATCATCACAATGGCTTTTATCAATGAGATCTGTCTAGCTTTGGCTTGCTGATTTTGAGAGATCATGATAGACAGTTTAAAAGGAGAAACAGGGAGTGTGACCAAACACTGCTCTCACAGCAACAAGTCTGTTACTGCCTCTGTGCTATCAGAGATGTCGCTGCACTTGGGCATGCCACATAACTGTACCTGCAGAATCTCTGTAACTGTTTTCTATCAAAATGGTCTGATTTAGCTTAAAACTGCTTTCTGGTTAACTATTAATATAGATTGTTTCAGATGGTTGGGTAGAGAAGCAGCTCTGTCTGTGGTTGTTAGACTCAGAAAACAGCTCCCCTCCAGCCTTGTCAATCTCATATGCAGCAGCAAAACATGTCTGCATAAAGGCTTGTCTGTAAGCAGTGGTGTCCTTGATTAACTCTGTGTGTATATATTAGTCCCATTTAATACAATCACTGGCTTCGGGAAAGCATATCCGTAAAGCTATATAGGTCAGTTAATGTAGTGCTTATATTCAGACTTTAATCTTTGTTAATTTTTAAGTCTAGATGAGATTCAAGACTGCTGAACCTGACAAGACCAGAGCAGACAACTTAAAGGTTAGCTAAAGAACTCCTTATAACTTGTTTAATAGCATATTTATATGCTGGGATACTGACTACGTCTGCCTATATCTCTGAAATGTCACATAAAGTTGGGCCCCTGGGCACATGTGGGATATAAATGTAGCAACGAGGTCCCATCTCACTTATAAGGGCTACTGAATAAGAAAGCTCAGCATTTACACTCCACCTGACATCTTCAGAGTCTTCTGTAGGTACATGAGACCAAGGTGGTTTATACATTAGGTAGCAAGGGTTTTGATGAACTGCTCATTCAGCCATCCCTCTCCACCTCCCGTGATTTGAACGATGGCTTCAGCTTCCTCCAAATGGATTGGTTAGACTCTTAGATGGCTCTGCTGTTACATGTCTCCATGGAACGGATTTTACTTTCAATAATGTCTCATAACTGTCTTTAAAGAGGTTTATGGCTCAGCCTTATTCTCTGGGACACTGACTGTTCTCTGCTAATCTCCTGTAGAAACACAGTTATGGGTTCACGCAGTATTTCAGTTAGTTCTCCTCAAGCTCTAGAGTCAAGTTAATTGGACACAATTGACCTGTGTTAGAGAATTGCTATTAGATGAGTAATATTTAGCAAAGGAAATAAGATCTTTCTATTCCTCAGAACATTCTGGGAGTTGTGGGGAGTGGCAGGAAATGGCAGCTCAAGAACCGTGCAGACTCGGCCCTAGGAACAGAGTTGATTTAGGGACTTGGGAAGTGCTTTGTGATAACTGAGATTTGTAAAATCACAGTTCTTGCTAAAAGAGAGCTAGACTGGGAAAAAAACATGCTGGAGTTTTGAGTATTAAAAGAGACAGAAGAGAAAACAGCTTTTATAGAAATATAGTGGCAGATCTGTGATAGTTATGGTGATGCTTTTTTTCTTAGCAAACACTATATTGTCATATAGCCACTAAAACCTGATTAAAGCAGGACAGCGATAAATAGAGCAGGATCTCATCAGAACGCGTTTGTGTTTCCAACTGGAAGCTGCATGCTGAAGGCAGGTCCAGTACACTGAATGATGAATGGACATGACACTAGTCCACAAGACAAAATCAAGGTCTGTAACATCACCAAGCAGCTAAAGACACAGAAACACTGGAATTGTTTTTGCAGAGCAGTTTAATGCAGAGCAGCTGAAATGTTGCTGCTAAATCCTGGAACTTTAGGGTGCTTTCCCTATTTACTTTCAGATACCAACCCTCTTGATGGGGTAAGTCCTGGAGAAAAACACTTATACCATAAAACCAGCCTATTAGTACAAGGCTCTATATACTTCAGTGCAAGTGCTGCCATACTAAAATTGCCAGTCTTAAAACTTCTTTGGGTAAAGTAAACTTCCTGAGAGAACTACAGATGTCAGCACTCGGTTTAAAATGTGTATGTGCTTAACTCTACTGAGACGTGAAGTTTCACTGAGATCAGCAGCACTACTTAAGTAAAGTTACATTTGGAGGAGTGTCTTGAAGGTCAGGCCTCAAGTACAAAAGTACTTCAGATTCATATTGGCTTGCTGGATAATACCAGCAGCAGGCACCTGGATTGCAGAACCAGTGACGTGATGTGATTTGCTATGGCAAATAATTATACTTATACTTCATGGAAAACTGCACTTTTTCTCTTAAACCTTATCTTTCAGATAGTGTTCCTCAACTTTAAGTATGTTTCATGTAATTCCAAAGCACTTTAATGTCTGTGGACCTGATTCTGCAGTCAGACTTTCAAGATGCACCTCTGGTCTCTGTTGGACTGTGCTAGCAGTGTATCACTGCTCTGGTTTCCCCAGTTAGGAATCCTGCTGCTCAGGAACTTAGCTCTGCAGCAGGCACAGTACTAGCTCTTCAGCTGGGACCAGGATCACCACCTTAACATGGATTTTGCAATTTGTAAGAACTGCAAAATCAGGCTCTTTGGGGCAAATGGGCTTAAGAAGGGACAAGTGTCTATCTCTGCTCACCGGCACTCAATGAAACACTGGCCAATCTGATCCCGGAGAGTTTCCTTGATGCTGAGCCCCTCCACTTCTCTCAGCTTGTTTTTGATGGATATCTCATCATCTCTCTCCTGGATCTCACCTTGCAGGGCGCTTACTTGCCCAGCATCCATCTGCAGAATACTCTTTGACTTTAAGTGAGGAGGTAGGCTCTGAAAACAAGAGGAGAAAATAGAATAGATTAATTAAAAGAACTTGGTATGAACTGGAAAGCCAGGCTGACAGCGAATCTAAGCTTAAGCCTTAATTTCTTTGCAGTAAGCCAGGAAAAATCTTGTACTCATAAAACTTGCCAGGATGCACACAATGGTCTATTATTAGTATTTCAGCATTAATTAACAACACTGAAATGTACAAAGCCAACCCTTCAGCGTGGGATCCTAGGATCTCAATGAGACAGGTGAGAAAGCTGCTGTTCTGCAAATGCCAACTTTATCCATGTCAGAAGGGTGCCAGAGGTTTTTTAATTGAATTTCCAAATGTTTGGACTTCCCATTGGTAAGTTTTAATTAGCCAGCATTGTGTTTAATTTGTTCACTTTGATTTTTATATGCACTGCTTGGTCACTGGTTTCCTGGTATTTTGTTGCAGCTGGTCCTATTCCTGTAGGAAATCAACTTCCCTTGAGGAACAACAGCCACCAAAAAGAATAAACAACCCCCCAAACACTGTAATAAAAATCAGAGCTCCCCAAGTTTCCCATGATTTGATAACCTTGGCAAGAAGGGCTCCTGAGCCAGCTTCAAGTCTTACATTGACTTCTGCTTTGTGATTGCTTTTACATGTGTAGTTTGAGAGAGGAAAATGAAAGTCTTGCTGGTATGCAAATACAGAAGCATGAAAAATCCCACCTGTGTGGGTGGTCTGAAACCTTGCATTTTTAGTTTGCAGTGGTTGATAAAGCTGAGATGCTCCCAGTGTTTTATGAGCTGTTTCTACCTTGGCAGTATAGAGAATAATCTCTTTTAAAAATTAACTTGTAAATTAGCTTTGGGGTTTTATTTGCAATTCCAGAAGGATTTTTTTCCACATAGTTGGGAAGTACTAATCATAGTCTGATAGTATATGTCAGATTTAAGACTGGAACAGATGATAACCTGGTTTTGTACTACGGTGTGGTTTACTCTTCAAAGCTGGTGACTGACATAGGTGGCAGCTTATGTGAACAAAAGCCTCAGAATGCTGCTTTGCATAAAACCTCTGTATAGTTCTGCTCTGGCCAAAGGTGGAAACCTTTGGAATGCACAGAACCGATCCTTAATCAGCACATCTCAGCCTAACTTAGGAATGCATGCTTCTTGCTCTGGTGATGTATTTTCTAGTGTGTTCCAAGCTCTAATTCCAGAGGTCTCCTGTAAAGACAAAAAAGCTTCCATCTAAGGCTGGGCCGGCTTATATTTAAGAACTTTTTCTGTGCTTCGACCAGGTTCCAAAAAACACTAACAAGTGCCAAGCAAGTTTGGTTTCGGAAAGGATACAGTGGGATTGCACACTGTCCAAAGTAAGCACAGAGGCCCAGTGCAGGAAGGCAATTTACTGCTTTCCCTGCATTTGTAATGTGTGACTTGTCAGGGCCACCAGGGAGAAGAGATTCAGGAGGTAAAAAGAGGAGCAGCACACTTCCAAAAGGCGGCTGCATGTGCTCTTTTCCTGAAGACATCATAGAATCACCGGGACCTTAAAGCCCATCCTGCCACAGGCAGGGACACCTTCCACTAGAGCAGGTTGCTCCAAGCCCCTGTGTCCAACCCGACCTTGAACACTGCCAGGGATGGGGCAGCCACAGCTTCTCTGGGCACCCTCTGCCAATGCCTCAGCACCCTATAACCCAAAATGTTGCCTTTCACCCCGAGATGTCACCTTTGGTCACTTCTCAGTTTCCATGAAAGTGTTTCCAATCTTCACCAGCATTTGTTTTTACTCTTTCTTTTGTTTTTCAGCATCATCTCCCTCACTAATATCAAATGAACCTCAGAATAGCCAGATGTGACGATGCTTTCTCAGGGCTCATTTGGAAACCAGAGAAGCACCCACGAGGCCTGCTTCCCAGATTGAGATCTAGAAACAAGATCCCCTTCCCTCTAGGCAGTTTCCTACTCAACCATTTGTTTCACTACAGCAATGCTCAGGGGAACTGCTTCTTAGAGAAGTTCCCATCAGTACGACTGCCTAGAGGTATGGGCAGCAGTGCTGCTACTGAAGACATGAGCCAGCACAACTCTTCCATGTCTCTGTATACTATCTTATATCTTCACTTGAGTCAGCATCCAGCTGGCTTGGATGCTGATAGCAACGAGGCTACAGAACATGCTCTGGTTGGCAAAATCCAGCCAAGCCCTGCGTAAATAGTTGTACGGCACCTGTCTGAGCGCCACACAGTTATCAATTTATCTCCTGATATATTGAGCTGTGCTCAGAGCCCTAAGGCTGAAGTACAGATATAACCTTGTAGAAGAGCTTATGAAAAGAGCTCTCTTGTATTTGCCCTTCATATTTTTGTCATTTCCTTTTCCAAAAGCTGCTTTCCTACAAGAAAATTAAAGGAAGAGGAACCGCTTCTATCAACAAGAGTCCAGCTATCCATCTTTGACAACTCACTGAAGGAAGTACTGAATGGGAACAGGGAAAACTGGTAAGATTATACTCTCATTTGACCATCTTCTTTTTCTAATCCTATTCATCTGTATGTTATGAATATTTTCCTAAATGAAGGTAAATGGAAAAGGGTTTATTTGCATGGAGGAGAAGGCATTCACATGGCTAATGTGAAATGTGCTGTTCCTTAATTGTTTCCATAGTTGGGAAGGCAGAGCTGGCTCAGACCTAGATAGGCAGATAAACTGGGGAGGAGGGTAAGGTGCTCGAGAGGAGCCAACAAGATAAGATGATGGAGCAGGCAGGAAAGGACACGATCTGAGCAGGAGTTGGCACTGCCAGGCATGCTGTTGCAATGAGTAGCAGGGAGATGCATTACCAGCAGATGACATCCTCTAAAGCTGGTGGAGAAAGCTGCCAAACATAGGGCTCCTCCTGCAGTGGAAAAGCTTTGGCAGTAACACGCTCCAGCTCAGATGTGTGAGGGAGAGCATGAACTGAAGAGCAGAGCTGGCAGTGATAAATGAGTCCTGAAGGATCTGTGGCTGTCTAATGTGGAACATACGCACTGCAGCCTGTTCTTGAGTGAAGGCCAGGAGGCTGGCGCATGTCAGGAGCCAAACACTGGCTCCTATTCTGGGGGAGGAAGAGGAGGCAAGCACTCAACAGCAGTGAGGAAATGGTGCCATGAAGAGACAATGTCAAAACCTGGGACTAAGGTCTTCAAGCACTCCTGCATCTTCAGAGACAGCATCTGTATGACAGCCCCGGTGGAGTGTTTGTTCTCCTGTCAAGGAGCAGACATCAGAAGGAAAGGATGTCTGAAAAAGCTTTGGCCACCTTAGGATGCAAGAGAAGACAGGCAGTGCAATGGCAGGAGGAGTGCCAAGGCAGATGGACAGTGTGAGAGGACGGTTTCAAACAGCTCCAGCAGGAATGCCTCCACGCTGGCCAGTCTTTGACCCCTGCCTTCCAGTGTTGTAGTGCTGCACACCAACTTTCCATGCGTCCACATGCTTGCTCTGGAGAGTTATACTGAGACAGCACAATGCGTGCTGCTTTCATGGCCCTCTACACTTAACATGCACGTTAAGGAAGACAAAAGCCAATTTATTTCTAACATCACTTCTCTCAGCGCCTCTGATGTTTCTGCTTCTGAATCAAGAGGAGGTATTCGACAGTGTAAGCCACTAATAAATAGCTTTTCCTTGGGGTAAAGAAGCATTTTCCCATCTTTAAGACATTTCTTTGGCCATGTGAAATTCAAATTTGTTAACTTGCCCCACAAACAGCAACTCATTTAGAAACAAATTACAAATATTAAATGGAGACAGTGAACTTGATAATGCAATGCTGCCCCATCAGTTGTAGAATAATGCATCTTAATGAAGGCTTCCCATGTGAATAAACCATTATATTTACAAGCTTTTCACAGTTAATGACCCAGAACTGGATAACGAAACTCACATTTTTAGTGTGGCCTTCTGTCAGCAAAAGTATACATATTAATAATTGATGTTGCTGTAGAAATGGGACATAATGTGAAGATCCCTGAGTTTGTGGGAAAATAGGACTACATGGTCCATTAACTTAAAATGCTTATCTAATGTTTGATAGGCTTTGTCTTTAAAATCCTTGTTTAAATTAATAAGGCAAAATGGACATTTGTCTAAAGCAGAGTTTTATTCCAACTCATCAGTCACAAGTATGCTGAAGGGAGTGCTGTAAGGTTCTTCTGCTCCTTCCTCCTCCTATCCTCTATCCTCCATCCTCCCCACAGAGAATTTAGGTTTCCTGAAAGCAAAAGACCCACCAGTAGAAGGATGGAAGAGGTTTCCTCCACCTCCCAGGTAAGCTGATGTGATGAAAGTCCCTGTGGATATTCCCTTTTGACTTAGGAACCCAGCTGCACAGATCACTCTCCTAGCCTGTCTTCCTGCTTAGTCAGCTCAACAGCTCTTTCCAACACAGACTGCTTTATTGTTCATTATAAAGCACTTAGAGGTGTGCAGCCTGGCTAAACATGCTTAAGGCTACAGTTCTGCATATAGCAGGTCCCATGCTGTGGAACTAACTGCTCTTCAATTGTTCCATTACGACTGCACTTACAAGGAAAGATGGTCTTCATTTCAATGAAATAAATACATTTCATTTTACTTCACGTTTTAAGGCTAGCATTCATATTATGTCTGAAAGGTAGATTTACTGCAGCTTTTATTACTGGGTACTTAATTTAGGGCAGTGTCTTGTCTTAGCCCTGAAACAGCACAGCTAAAACACATGCCGCATGGTTTTACAGGGCTTCTTCAGTAAATGCTCTGCTACAGAGAGGATTGTCCATAATCTTTTGAAAGATACAGTAGTTGTGTAGCATTTTGCTATAGCTTTTAAGTACTATAGTACAGTTTGCTTATCTGGAGGATTTTATTTCCTAAGCAAAGTAAGTAGTTTTAAAGTAATTGGTTTTAGTGGTTACTTTCAGCAGTAGTGAACATGGGCAAGTAAATCCTTACTAGTCGACTATAAGAACATGCCACCTAAGTAACTGGGGTGCTGTTACTTATCGCTGTTATTCTATTGGCTTCTAAACTGTGATGCAAATTATCTTTACAAGTTTGGTTCTTGCTTTTCTCCATGTATTTTGTCTGGCTGTGGGAAGGAATGCGTTTTAAAGAGGTCTCTTGTCTTCTGAGGACTGTATTCATCTAAGTGCCATGGTACACAAATGGTGATAGCCACATCAATTATATGGCTGAATTCCTAAATTAGGCACAAAAAAAGGCACAACTAAGCAAAATGTATTGCATTCATTAAAGCTCCTCTACTATATGATTCACTTCAATAGGCTTTGCCAATTAAAGTGTCATATGCGTTCAAACAAAGCATTAGTAGGAGAGGCCTTATTGGAAAAAAATATTAAAAATGACTGTTTTGTAGAATATATATTTATAAAACTATTGACATGCAACACTTTCTATTAAGATAAAGTGAAGTTGAAGTGAAGAAAACATACTCATGACTGTGTAAGTTTAGATAATGTTGGTCATGTTTATTTCTGATATTATACCTGGCCATGCTGTTAACCTTCTATTAACAATGTCAAGTATGCTTTGGACTCTGCCAGGCAGTGATTTCACTCTTAGTGTGACTCCAGCCAATGAAAGCCAAATTATTTAGCAGCTTCCTTGCTTCCCAGCATCCTCCTAGTTCCAAAATAAGCAGGTTTAAAATGTGTATTGAAAACAGGACAGATTAGTTATCACTATGTATATACACATGTACGCCTGGTGAAATAACATGTAACTTTGTGCTGACATCTAAAACGTCATCCAGGTTGCAAGTAAAACAAAAGTCAATCTTATGCTTGATAAAAGCCGGCCTGGTGTGGACCACTGCTGTAACTGCCCATTTTCAAGAGCTGAAGAAACCTTTTCAATGTCACTCAGTCGTGGAGTTAGCAGTTGGTTAAATCCCATCTAGTATTTATGTAGCTGCAGTCCGTGGTGTTTACACAGAAGGCTATTCTGGGAAATGCCGATTTTCTTCCCTGACTGGATGAAATGAATTATATTTATCAGGAATTCAAAGCACAAGGAGTGTTTGGTAGAATGTTTTCTCAGATATAAATAAAAGCATTACCCAAGACAACATGCCTAAATTAGGGTATGTTTAAAAGAGGTAACAAGGAGAGAACAGGGCCTGTTTTTAAGACCAAATAGATCCTTTCATGCAAAAAGGATGTAGAGTAAGGAAGAATGAATGGTGGAAATACTATGTGAGAAAATCAGACACAGCAGGTATTGTGCCACCAACTCTCTGGTAAGGTCTGAAATCACTGAATAGAGCAGTGTGAGAGGTGTGTTAACTATAAATCAATAGCTGCATCTGAGAGACAAGAAAGACTTTACGTGTGTGTGTCCGAAGCACGCAGGGCTCATTCCTATGAATTGTTTAAACATGTAGAGCACTTGGCTGCAATGGGATTGATTACTTGTGCTCATTACGAGAAAATGAGCAAGGGGATAGCCAGGCCTTTGGACTGCTCCTGTCTCAGAGTTGTAACAGTAGGTTAAGCCCCTAAATAGGGATGGATTTTGTCTTGTCATCTTGTATTCCTTGCTCCTAGGCTCCCCCTACCCTTCCATAAATCAGTCTGACCGAAAACTGTTTATCCTAACATTTTACGTTACAAACAGCTATTCCTCTTTCCAGCAGGCTGTGTTCTGAGATTATAAGTGTAACTTCCTGCAGGGGCTATCCTGTTAGTAGAGTGTTAGGGTGAGTGCTGAGTGTAGATCCACTATTAGGCTTGGGCTGTTTTGCAGCACATTGAGACAAAGCAGTTGCCAAAATCCAGTTCACACATCCAGTTACACCAAGCTCATAGCTAGTTTGCACCACAGCAACATGAACCCATCACAGCAACCTCCAATTGGGGTGTTTAGTGATGGAGAACTTATAAATGCCAGAAACAGACAAGTGGAAGTATGCCCTGGTTTATAAACTGCAACAATGGTATGTTATAACTGACCTTTCAGGGTAAAATAGAGCAAGGAAATAAGGGTTTTTGACAGCACAAGCATGTTTTCAAGACGATTTAATGTGTTTTCTTGCAATGTCAGTGTGGCTTAAACACAGCCCTATGCCTGGAACTGTGGTTACGGTGGTCATGCTGGAGCTGGTAGTAAACGGCATTGTGGCAGCAATGTGAGGAAGATCAGGAAACAGTTATCAAGATCTATGTGCTCTTAGTGAGGCTCGCTTCTCTTTACAAATTAAACCAGTATTGCAAATTGTGATTTATTGGAGATTTAGGAAAACATGTGCTGAGGGAATCATGCTGTTTCTGCAATTAAGCTTTAATAAATAATAATAATAATGAAGCTTTACTTCTGAGCCAAGAAAAACCTCTGGAACATAGGCCTCTACTCTGTCATCAAGCAAAGGATGAAATAGAATCGAATTCCAGAAAAGATACATAATCTTTTCTGAAGCAAGTAGACAGCAAAAAAAATAATACTGAATTAAGCAAAAGACTTTTGGGCAATGCTTGGTATTTCCATGTATTTCCATGCTTTTAGGCCTACAAAATTGAAATTTTCTAAATAGCATTGTTTGGAACTTCAGATGGACTCTTTTTGCAAAGCAGTCTTTGTATGAAAGTAACACAGACGTTGTTAAACCAGCTATAATTATAAGAGAAATGATACTTATTGCAGTAAAAGTCAGGTCTCCTTTGGGATGGGCCTGGAATAATGGATGGCTGGGTCTTCTCGTTTATCTAAGTCATGCAGCATTAGAAAAGCAAATTGAACATATTTACACATGAAGATCTGTGGTCATTTTTTAGAGGCCTGACGTGATCATACATCAAAGGGACTTGACCTTTGGAGCTTGCTGCCTATCTATCAGTGTGAACCAGTGTCTGCCTGCCACCCGCTTCCTTTGGACACAGCAGAAGGGAATGAAGCATGGAAAGTAAAAGGGGAACCCAAATGGGGGATATAAAAACACTGGCAAGAGGAAAAGATTCTTTTCATTCACAGGTATCATTTTTTTCCCCTATATTCTTTGATTATTCATTTGATAAAGAGGAATGAGTCAGAATGCACAGCTGCAAACATCAGTTCTCTTGCTCCTGAATGGAGGTCAGGAAATGAATATATTATACGTATTTTGTTTTAATTCCTTTCATCCCTGTGATCATATAGGTTTCCTCCTCATAAACTAGGCTATTTACATCCTACTAAGCAGTTACTCCTACTATCGGCCACCATGAAAAGAGTGCTTGGCTGTGAACCCTCCAGTAACTGACACCAGACTTAGATTTCCTTCCTAAGACTCTAGTTTTAAGATTCAGCAGAAACTGTCATGGGATTTGACAGGAAACAATCCCTTGTTTTGCTAAAGATGTGATTTCTAATTAATTTTCAGTACATCCCAAATATTTACCATTTTAGGTCTGGGCTAGTTAAAATCTCTGGGAATCTTCTCTGTCTTACACAGAGAAGGTAGCCAAAGCTCTGTTCAGCTATGCTGGCCACAGTTACTGTTAATGACCAGCAGATACTAAAGTCAGTAATCCATAAGGTGTTATCTGTATTTAACATGGCAAAGCTTAGGTTAATGTATATGTTACTTCCTAAAGTTAAGATTTTAAGGTCATTCTTAACTGATGATACGTATTTGTCAGATGTATGCTATAGGTATAATTAGTTGTCATAAACCTATAATGTAGTTAAGGGCAACTCCATTGCTGGGCAAGAAAATAATCCAAATAGCCTGGGAGAAGCAGTAAGCATGTTTTAATTCGAAATTAAGTTATTAGTTTATAAATTAATAATTTAAGAACTGCAGAATATGGAGGTACAAATTCATATACCAAATACAGAGCAGTGATAAATTTTTCTGTAACGTGGTGCTGTGAAGCAGCTTTACTAGAGCCCTTGTAGGGCTACTGGAGTTGGAGAGCTCTGAGGACTGACACACATTAGTGCCTAATAAAGGCAGTGGTAGCAAAAGGAAACTGTGAAGAGTTTACCCTCTTTCTCAGGTACTTGCTAGGAAGGAAGATGTTGGTGGGAGGAGGAGATGTGCCTTCTCCAAGAGGTTCCTTCTGGAAAGGATGCTTTGATTTCTTTCACCCCGTGCATTCTAACTGACCATGGAGAGCTGTTCATTTCCCTATGCTTTTGCAGTATGAACAGGAGCAACATTTTGATGGACTTTTGGAGGTATTGCTGGGTTAATATGGCAGTTCTTAGGTCCCTTTTCCCTGCTCTTGATGTACATATGCAGTGGCTTGCAAAAAGGTCGAAGAAGATTTTGTTGCTTTAATTCTACTCCAGAAATAAGGCAGCTCAAATGTATTGGAATTCTGAGTTAAAAAATGAGTAATCAAACGTCCTTGCTCTGTGTTCAATTCCCTAGAACCTGGGGCAGATTCTACACTGTCTGTTTTCACATCTGCCATATACATTGGAGCATGTATATATAGCACAAAAACATGCAGCGTAAGACAAATAGCACTACTTCTGTGCCATCCATCATCTCAGTTTAGTTCTGTATTCCTTAGAGGTCCCTTTAAAAATAGGAAGAATCTTAGAACTTAATTTCTCATCTTCTGCTAAATTACAGAAGCCTGAAGAGCAGAGAGGCTGTGGCAGTTTGTGTTCTCAGGGCAGCACTACTCACCATCCCCAGAAACACCATTTCCTCCTCTCTCAGGTTCTCTGTTTTCTTGCGCTGGACACATCCACGCCAAACCTGAGTTGTAAACAAAGCTCTAATGAGATAAATGGGTCTTGTTACAGCTTCCTTCACTGTGGCAGCCACAGGAAAAAACAAATAGAGGAAGGAAAGGCACAATATACAATTGAAACTATTGCTCTTTAACAGGTTGCCATCTGCTATTTCTTTTTTAACCAAATCCTGAGGTTTGTTGTCCCCTTACTCTGGCAGACGTAGGTTTTCAAACACAAAGTGTTGAGACTTAAAATTTAGACTGAGCTCCTGTTCGCCTCTCTGACTGAGCTGAATTACATGTGTAAGGACTCTTTCTGAATTCAACAGTGATATCCCTTTGCCATCTTTTCTGGGTATGGAATGAAGTCTTTCCCAGGAGATCACAGGAAAAGGCATGAATTCTCTGAGATGCACTGGATTCCAAGGAGGATGCCAGAAGGAGCAACTGAGGTCATAAAAATCAGACTGGAAAAACAACATCTAGGTTATAAAGTCATCCTGCACTGCCAGGGCAGGACTGTTTCCATTGATCTCCTATCTAGAGACCCGTCTCATTTTGTTAAGTGGTTTAAATGATGTACATCACCTTGCTAGGCATCCTGGAAGCTCTCATTATGGAATGGTTTCCATCCTGTGAGCTGTGTTTCTGTCTACTGCTGTTCTGAGCAAAACCTTGTCACTTGGTTCTGCCAGAACAGTTGTTAAATCAGAGATTTCACCTTTTGAATGCGAGTGGCAGCATCATCTGGATTCAGACCCGTCTTGATCTCAGCTTTAGGTTGTCTTGCCCTCTTCTCTGCAAGGTAAATTCGCTTCATGTACGCTGCTCGACAGCGGCCTTGGCGAGCCCGTTCTGCAACCTGGATAATTTTAATGGCTTCTTCAAATGTCATGGCCTCGACAGGTTCCTTCAACAGCACAGCCAAGAAGGAATGGTTAAAGACAAGCATTAGAGTTGTGTGTTCTCTTAATAGCCTAATTCAGTTAGCAAAGGAAAGAATAAATGAAATCTCTTGTGGAAATGTTCCTATCACAAACAGCAGCAAATCCTGTCCTAGTGTTCTCCTCAAATACCTTTTGAAGCTTGCTATCTTGAGATGTGTTTTTTCTGAGGACCTTTAGGAGAAAGTGAGCTTGATGAGTTGATGTGCGATGAGGAAAGCCTGATGCTACACTGGGAAGAATGGCTCTGTATGCTTTATGCATCCTGCTTGACTTTATCCATTTGAGAAGAAAAGACACAAAGAACATTAGGTCTTTCTCCTGTTAAAAGAAGAAATTCTTGGGCTGTGGGATATCTTCCTTACACTTCTCTAAAGGGATGAATCACTGGGTGTGCTGCTGGGACCACAGCCCTCTTGCTGAACAGGACAGGCTGTCCTGATCCAGCCCAGGTCTGGACAGCCTAACCTAAGTAGAAAAGGTCTGGGGTAAAATAGATCAGAACAGTACAGCTGGAGAGAGGGACTCCCCCTTCTCAGTCCTCAATATCTTGTTAACCCCTCATGCTTCCCATGAAGCAGCTGATTATTGTCCTTTCTTGACATTAATCCCCCAGTTGGAGTCAGTTCAGATTTAATGCTTCTCTCTATATTGTGTGGTGCTCACTACGCTATACTTTCAGCAGGGCTTTCTGAAAGAGAATTACATAGAAGCAAAAGTCACTTGCAGAGAAAACTCCTCTGATGAACTCAGCTGTGTTTGGTTTATGTTACACTGCTTGCAACAGCACTGCCATGGACACTGAAGAATACCATAGTCTGTTACACAGTGCTTAGTAGCTCCTGAGTGCTTGTGACTTGCTATGGTGCATGCAGAAGTGCTGACAGCCCTCCAGCAATCCCAGTGGTGACTGAGCTGGAAAGGCAGCACAAGATACTGGACCCATACTGTGTGAGATTATCTGTGTTTATTGAATCCTGTGTCTCTTGGGGCATCCTGGCAAGGGAGCCCCGTGCTCCCAGGTGAGCTGGCTGCACATCAGATAGTCTCATCTGTATTGGATGCTATGCTAAAAAGGGGTGAGAGCAAAACTGTGGGAAACAGAAAGGCTTCCAGATGTAATGTGCTGAAACAGAGCATCTCTACAGGCCATCAGACTACTAGAAGAGCAGAGAATTTACTCAGAGATTTACTGTGGAGGCCAAGAGGACTGCAGCTGCCCATTAAAGTAATCTAGCAGAGAGCCTATGCTGTCTCTGCAGCCTGCCTCTGTCTGACTGGTGCTGTTTCTTTCCCTGGAAACCTTCTCTCCATTGCTTTGTGGAATCAATCCACAGACTTTCCTCACCAGCATGGTTACTGGTGGAGAATTCACTGGTTGAGGCTGTGCAGCAGTTTGACCAAGTGGTCTGATCAGGGACTAACTCTTATGGCTATAACATCTATGAATCAAAGCTGTCTAGACCTGTAGGCACAGTTGTTTATTTCAAGGGGTTAGCACTGACTGCTTGTAGGCAATGTGCTATTTCCAGAAGGTCAGAAGTATATCAAATCCAGAACAGTCTCCACCAGAGCACTCGTGTACTTCTATGTAATGACTTTTGCTCTGCCAAAATTCAATCTTTTACTCCTCCTAGCAGCTGCAGCTCTGTAGCTGTACAGAAGAGACTGTAGTCATTGTTCAGGGGTTATAACCAACCAAATGCTAACACTTACACTGACCTGAACTCTTGAGTTTTGCCTGTTCCAGTTGGAATACTGGTTCAGGAAAACTTAAGCCCAACTTGACTTCAGTAGAACTTAATTACAGGATGAGAATTAGCTACGCAAATAAAGCACCTACTAAAATTGCCCAACTGCTGCCCTTTCTCTGACACTCTCACACACATAAAGCAGAGTTGATTCAGTCTTAACCAGAGGCAAAATGTGAGTGGATATTATTAGACAGGAAAAGTAAATGCGATTTTCGACTTGTGCCTTATCTGTAAACAGATTTTTACTTCCTAACTGCTACAAAAGTACTTTTAATGTCACTGGCTTGTGTGTTCAGACACGTGTGGCTATGAACTAAAACAGCAAAAACATGTTAACAGGTAGGTATGTGCTATGCTTACCTCTGCTTGCAATCCAGCCTCAAGCAAAATCTGATCCAGGATTTTCTCCCTCTGCTGCAGGACTTCCAGCTGTTCTTTAATGAAATACCTTGGGATAGGTACTTCGAGATCTTCCTAGCGGAAGAAATGGTTATGAGATGTTTCTGAGATCTGCATCAAAATCACATTACTTATTAATTAAACACCTTTACAAAGCAATGAAATTGGATTGAAATTGTGGAATATTTTGGAGTGTTGGGAATTTGACCTCTGGAACAGCTGCTGAGCTGTTACTTTGCAATTACTTAAGGCCTAATTCAACCAAACAAATAAATCAACCCAGTTTCTGAGCAACGAGAGCCCAGAAATCTTTCTTCTTATAATGGCTCAATTACATTATCAAACTGTTAAAATATTTGGCAAGGTGGATGGAAATTTCAACATGATTCCTACCAAACAGAATACCTCTGGTTCTGTGATCATCCCACTTCTTTTTTTAATCAACATGAACAATAGATCTGTTCTCTTGCCTTTTTCTTTTAACCATTACAAGGAACTAAAGCACAATCCTGTTTGTCTGCAGGTATTTCTCTGTCTGTGACTGTGATATCTGTGACTTCTCCAAATAAGGTGTGATCAGAAGTGGCTTTTACTCATTTCAAGCATTAAAAAGCTGTAACTGATTCACATTTCTACTGATCCTTCCCCTGCAGAACTTCACTCTTGCTGAGAAATGAAAGAAGACACAGGCAGACAACCTCCCCCAGCAGTGAAGATACTGCAGTGACATAACCTGTTCTTTGTGTTGTATTGAAAACTGGAGGCAAATCTTCAAGAATTGGCAAGTATATTTCTTTGAGGGTGGAATGTGTCTTCATAGGTCTGGTTCATACCATGTTCCCTATACCCTGTTTCAGCAGCATCCACAGTATCTCCTCAGGCAAATTATTTATTATAAGGAGGGATGGGTAGACAGGCAGTAGTTTCCCTGTGATGCTGCTCATGAGGAGCTGCACAGTCAAGTTACACAATCATTTGTCCCCAGGTATGTGTGAACACTTGGTCCCTTGCCCAATTTGCCTAAGAGAGGTACAAGACTTGACGCTGTGCCATCAGTGCTGTCTGTTCTGTCTGTTGTAGAAACTGATGGGCTTTGACCTGCTCAGGGAGACCTCTGACTTCCTCCTTTGCAGCCTCAATGCTTTAATGTGGACAGATATGGACGAGGAAAGCGCTGGCTGTAAAGGAAAAGCACTGCTCCTGCCTTGACACAGCCACATGGTAAATGTGCTGCCTGTGAACTCCAATCTCTAGAGTAAGAATTTGCAGGGAAGACTTTGGCCAATGCAAACAGCCCCTGTGAACTGCCAACTTGAGAGATCTCGTTACCAACTCCTTCAGTTGCACACTGTGCAGACCAACACATCCCTGTTATGGCAGCATAAGAAAGCTTCCAAGTGGGATTGTGTTTATCCCTGTTGATTTCAACAATGCAGAAGTCTGGTCTGCTGAGGTTTCTGAATGTTTGCCTCATTAAGCTCTCTGCTTGCACCTTCGTTGATGGAAATGATTATGTGTTGTACTTTAACAGTGCAAATCACTCTGTGATGGATTTCAAACCAGGTATAAGAAATGAAGCGGTTTGTCTAGACACTCTCACATGGGGAGAGAGGGCTTTTACACTGTCAGGTAGCAGTGCATGATGATTATCTCCCATATCTAACCTGGGCTTTAACAACAAGTGATCCTGGACTGAGACATTTACTGACTCTAAAGGTGAGATCAAAGCCACAAGCCTGGGACTGGAAGGGGTGGGAGTGCTTCTCTTCATAACCTCTTCTTGGGGCCCAGCATAGAAAAGCGAGGCTTGTGGTGTTTATCCTCACGTCAAATTTGCAGCTTTTTAGCCACTCCTGGCTCCATGTGGGATTTGGGTATCCAAATATCTTTACAATTTCCTCAGGAAATGGAATGACCGGGTGTTGGGAGGCAACTATACAAAAACATGAGGAACAGAACTAAAGAAAGCTGAAGCTTGGCTTTACACTGACATAGTAAAAAGTAGCCTATCTCACTGCATAAGTTATGAAATGAGACTGCTCTGTTGTGTTCTCTGCCTATAGTCACGCTGGATTTTAGCCCAAGATAATACAGTGAAAGGAAGGATCAGAGATATCCTTCTTGGGAAGATTCTTTAAGAAACAGAAGTTATTTGTCAAACACTGGCCAGTAGTTTTGGTTTTTAACCAATAATATATGATTATTTTATGGAAAAAACCCCACGTAAATCTCTATTCCCATCTACTATGGAATAACGTTTGGAAAAGCCTCAAATCTCTTCAGTGACCCTGTTTTTTCGGTAGGAGGCAGGTTATAACAGATGTCAAACACGAGTTTTCAGACCTGCCCATCTTTGTTCTGCAGGGGGATTTCATGATATGTCTTGAAAACAAAGGGAAAGAGCTTGCAAAAACTCATGGCAATGACTGTCTGTCTCTATTTGCGGTGCAGTAGGGATGCTATTGCAAACAGAAACATGTCTGCAAGTCTCAAACCAACGTTGTAACGATACTGGGCATTCATCTCGCGTTATAACCGGGATCTGGAAAGCAAAAATTCAAGCTCCGACCCTGTTTTTAGGAAAGCAGCGGTACCTGAATGTGACAATAGGTGGAGCTGTCTGCGAGGGAAGCAACCTCCCTTTTGCTGCTGCTCTTTACCACTGCTTTTAGAGCACAGCTCCAAACCTTTAGCTTTATTGGCATCCTTGTCTGGTTTAGCGGGACGGCTGTCAGGGGCTTTTACATCGGGCAGTCCTGAGTCCTGGACACTGAACACGCCCTCAGCTCCTGCCTCCTTAACAATAAGAGACTTAGCTGAGGTTTCTCTTGTTAGTAGTTTGTGGTACTATGAACTTGCAGCATTACCTGTAACCTCTGGAAGATGCCTGGGGCCAGGCTGATTTTACAGTGATGCAAAAGAGCAGACTGAAGTGGATTGTACCTTCCTTATCAATTGCCCATCTTTTACATAATCCCACATTCAAATCAGGCAGAGTCAAACTGCTGATGTTCACAGTGAAGCTAAATTAATACAACATCATAGAATGGTTTGTGTTGGAAGGGACCTTAAGCCTCACACAGTTCCAGCCCCTGCCACAGGCAGGGACACCTTCCACTAGAGCAGGTTGCTCCAAGCCCCTGTGTCCAACCTGCCCTTGAAAACTGCCGGGGATGGGGCAGCCACAGCTCCTCTGGGCAACCTGTGCCAGCGCCTCAGCACCCTCATATTAGGACACGTGCAAGAGAAAGATCTACAGAGCCTGTGCTGTTATGGAGAAGCTGAAATGCAAGAAATTCGTCAGGCAGATCAGCTTTTAAAATCTTGCTCCAATATAATTGTAGACCAAATATACTCTGATGTTTAACAGAAATGCCATAATTCCTCGTCACCCAGTACATCACTACATCACTTGGTGGAACTTCACAGACTGCAGGTAAATGTGACTGTCTTTAACATAGAGCTAGGCAAAATCCCTATGAATTTGCCCATTAACAGAGCAGACCTACCGGGAGAAGCTTTAGATCTTCCAGGATATTATCAATGTAATGAAATTCTGATTTCTCCAGATCCACCATCTCTTTTTTCAGCTCCAGGATCCGGCCGATCACACCATCCAGCACTTGCCGAATCAATGCCCGCTTCTGCTGGTGAAGGAGTTGGTCGTGGGCTGTCTCCAGGGTATGGAAGATTTGCATGTACTTGATGTAGGAAGTGGCCAACATCCTGAATACTTTCACGAGGTCCTGCTCTGGCTGGAGAAACTCTTCTCTTTCTCTCTGGAGCTGGATGTCGAGGTCTTTCTGGGCATCTGTCCACATCTTATTGTAAGTGCTAATGGAAAAGAAGAGACTAAGTTAACCTGAAATGAAAGCAAGAGTCAGCACACAACGATGCTAAGGCTCTCTGTGTGTGGACTTTGCAAAAAAGCAAACTGGAAATGTGAGCCATTACATTTATAAAGAGATTTTAACTACAATGTATTTAACTTTTCATTTTCACCTTAATGCATCCTTTGAATGCTTGAAGCTACATCCCCCTATAGTGCCATGAGTTTCATTCCATTGTGCTAATAGAGAAGATGGTTTAATGGAAAAGGGGTGTCCCCTCAAAGTCCTTATGATGGGGGAAGGTCTGGTTTAGGTCCCTGCATATTTGGGATGAGGACCAATTGATGTTTCTGAAGCATGTGTTGATTTTCTGCCTTTCTTCTGAAGTGGTTCTCAGGGCTCATTGTAGGGTAAGTGCTGTGTTGGTGCCAGTGTTAGAGTGGAGCTGTGAGCACTATTTCAGATGTGAAGTGAGGAAAGTGATTTATTTCTTTGGTAGCAACTGCTGCACTCCAAGCAATTGCTGAATGTCTGGTCCAAACCTATTTGATGTCTGTCACCTACCTTTGTTACCAGCTTCACTTTCAGAAGTAATAATGCTTTTTACTTGGTGGTTTTGGTAGGAATTTGGTAGGAAAATTCTTCCCTGTGAGGGTGCTGAGGCACTGGCACAGGGTGCCCAGAGAAGATGTGGCTGCCCCATCCCTGGCAGCGTTCAAGGCCAGGTTGGACACAGGGGCAACCTCCTCTAGTGGAAGGTGAAGGGAGTTAGAACTGGATGAGCTTTAAGGTCCCTTCAATCCAAAGAGTTCTGTGATTCTATGAACAGGTGGAGCTCTGATGTGATGAGTATGCACTGGCTGTCATTTGCTTGTCATGGTAAAAGCAGATCAAGTGCAGAATATCATGGGAAATCATCCTAAAGGGGCAAGAAACGGACTCTGGGCAAAGAGGCTTTTCTTCATAGAAGAGCTCAAGCAGCAGATTTGTCACCGAAAGGTGCTACATCTGTGGTAGTCAAAGACACTGTTAGGTTCTGTTTTACTTCTGCCCAGGTAAAGGCTCTCTCTTGGGAGTGACAGCTGTCAAAAACATCTTACACCTTTGGCAATGTTTCTTTAATAGCAAAGGTAAGAAGCTTCTGCACTGAGCCTCAGTGATGCTGGGAGAAAAAGTTGATTCACGCTGTCAGGTTTGCAGGAGGAGGGGAAAACAGTGGGCTAAGGTAACAGGGAAAGCTGACTTTTGTTTCTTACACCTAGAAATAAAGGCTACTGGCCTCCATGGTGCAATGCAGACTCATCCACCAAACTACTGCTTGGTGTTCCTAGAGCCTGTCAAAGATGGATGAATACTAAAAGGCTCTGCCTCCATTAGATGAGCTTTTAGAGCAGCTCTCTTGCTGGTCTGAGCAGCACTGAGCAAGTGCTTGTGTATTAATTCTGACAAGAAATCCAGGCAGCTGTTAACATTACTTATGCTAGACTGTAATTGCCTAAGTGGGAGCTCTGTCAGCTGATCTTATCATTCCCAACCTCAGAGAACAGAATGACCCTTGTGCTGCAGGAGGGACCAGTGCAGTGGATGGGAGGACAAACTCCAGCCCACAAGTGCCCTGAGCATGAGGTGTGTGCAGCACATCCAGGATCCTGATGGGGCTTTTGGGACTCCCTGAAGCCATCAGCAGAACCACCACCAACCTGAACCCTGCTATTGAATCTGCACTGTTAACATTAAAGTGCACATTACACTTTTCAGCTGACTTGGGTTTCTGCAGGATGCAGCTGGTCCTGCTTTTCCTAATGCCTCTGCAGCCCACCCAGCTCTTTCCCTTTCCTTTTTCCCTATTTCATTGACATCCCTTTGCACCACCCAAATGATTTAATTGCAGCAATTAACCCAGGTGCAGGAGATATACAACATAAAACCAGCAGCGTGGAGAGGCTTGGCACAAGTATGACCAGTGTTAGCTTTGACCTAATAGCTCTGCCAGTGAATCAATGGGAGGTTTGTCCACTTCCTCCACAGTCAGCATGCGGAAGAACGTCTACTGGTATGAGGTTCAGGGGGTTTTCCAGCACAGAAGGAAACAACGTGGTATTGTACTTACGTAGCTGTGCCTGCTCATAGGGCATTTGGCAGTGGGGAAGCTGTAAATCTTGGGGGAAGCCTAGCCCTGCAGGTTTATGAACAGTGGGTATGCACAGGTTGAAGTGTTCTGAATGCAGGTTATTGCATGGGGACAACAGCTTGTACAAGAACCAATTCCATGATTGTCCACTCCAATTTACAATAATCTCCCTTTCTGCCTCCTCTGGCTGAGGAATGTCAAGTGGTTCCTCCTGCTGAGCCAGCTAATATCCAGTTTCTCTTTATATTTCAAATGAGTTTTTAAGGGAGGAGGGAGACAGTGCTCCAGCCTTCAGAGCGTGTTAACATCAGGCAATATAGATGGAACATAATTGTTTCCATAACGCATTAGTTTATCGGATAAGCATTAAGATGATTGCAAGCACGTTGCTGTGGGTCAGATGTTAAGACTATGGATATTGTGGCATGTTTGGAGCTCTTGCAGCAGTGATGCTCTGTGTAAATGAGGGCAAAAGAAGGGATAGGCCCACTGGAAAATGAAGTATTGACAGAAAAGAGTTATGAGGAGCTGCTAGATTTTCTCTTGTACCTGTTGCAGTTAGAGTGAATGACACCTTGGGGGGACATGGCCCTAGTGCTTCTGTTTGTTAGGCATGTAATGGGAAACAGCAGATACTTGATAACTGGGAACAGATAAGTGCAAGCAGCAATGTGATTTGAGTGTTCCTTTGGCTCTCCCTGACTAAAAACCAGAGGACATGTGCACAGCCATTTGCTTCCTCTCCCAGAACATTATTTCAGGTTTCACTGGTATCTAAATGGGAGTCCTTCTGGACTAGCCTGAAGGATTGGATGTGCTTGGTGTGTTTATAGCCCTGTCTGGCAGAGCTGCTGTAATCCTGAGGAGCCCTTCAGTTTTAGAGACAACTGTGTTCAAAGGGTAGTCAGGAGGAGTAACGTGTCTTCAAGGTTACGCGTTAAAAGCAAAGAACAGGACTGATGCTCCGTGCCCGTCAATCTGACGGCGTGTGACCTCCAAGTCCCTACTTGTATTTTTGCCTATTTGCTCAGTACCCCTCTGCATTAAGCTGTAAACTCCCTCAAAATTGCTTCCACACGCTGAAGGGGGAGTACAGAACAGCCTTGAGCATGCTGGCTTTTCATTTACTGTTACTGATTCATCTAGTAGACTCGTTCCTGTTCTGTAATAGGTAGGGTGTGAGCTGTATCTGTCCCTGAGGGTGATGCTGCATCAGAATTAGATTGGATTAAAGCATCTAACTAGCCTGTAGTGCTGACAACCAGCACCACTGAGCATAATTTTCCTTCTCATGGCATAAGATGATTAAATCCTGGGAAAGAAGGATGTCTGTCTCAATCTTCGCATGTGTATAGCAGTATAAGTAATGCCGCAAATTGTCATAGCAACTACAAAATAGGAGTGTTATGGGTAAAATAAGCAATCCTGTAATGGGATGAGTTAAAAACACGTAGAGTGACTTAACTCCAGAGCCCCCAGAGTGCTTTCTGGCAGCTTAAGGCTTGGAGGGAAGGTCAAGGCTCTAACTCTTAACCAATGTCCCTTCTCTTCACTCCCATGAAGTACAAACCGAGTCTAAAACAAGGGCTAAAGAAGACTCTTGCTATAGCATGGTTTCTAGTTTGAATCTTGCTTTTACTGCTCAAAATAAAGCCTGATCTCTTTATTTAGAGTGAAACTTTTAGTTTTTGTTTTTTTTTTTCTGCTCAAGTTATAAAAAGCTGTTTAAAATCCTGCCAAATTACACATTGCCTCTTTCAGTATTCCAGGGCCCTCTAACTCTGCACGTTTGTTTGACCCATCCATCTCTTTTACTAAAATGGTCCTGAGGTCCAGCTGAGGTTACCCTGCCTCCTTGTGCAGAGCTTCTTTTGACACTTAAGCATGCTCTGCTTGAAAGGGTTTGTGCTGAGCATGCAAACTGTCCTTCAGACCACTCAGGAGCCAGTACTGGAGCCTGGCACCAATAAGGTCACCTTTGTGCCTGTGTGGTTTTCCTTCCCCCTTCTCCCCACAGTGTCTCGGTGTTTTTACTTGACTGCCAAAGGGAACTATTCCTGTTATTTCAGGACATGGCAGTTTGCATTCCAAGTTGTGTCTGTCTCTGGGTTTGTATATGGGCTGAACCCAGGCTACTTTGATGCCTGTTTTTTCTGGGCTGTCCCCCGAGGACAGAAATATCTCTCACTTTCATATGCCAACCATATAAATGCAGAGCATAGCACTGCATGTGCACTACTGCATTGTCTGCTGGATGTAAAGAGATGGAAGGGAAAACATCTGACTGATGTGGGTCATGTCTCTTCACCTAACATGGAAACACCCATTTGATTAAATGAACTCTAAATTGTGTGTGTTTTAACACACTTCTGGAGCATTTATGCCACCATTGCAAACTACCTGCCTTTCTCAGGAGATTGGGCTGTTCTGAGCCATAGAGCAGGGAACAGGGAAAGCACTGACAGGGCTTGTGAGAACAAGGGAGTGAGGAGTGGGGCTGGAGCAGGAATCTGCGTGCTGGAGCAGGGCTTCCGTGGGCACAAGGAGCAGAGGGAGTGAGACGTGGGTCTGGCAATGAGGAAGTGCATGTATGGGCCAGTCCTCAGGGAATCCTCTAGATCCTCTGGGCTTGACAGGTCAGCCATTGTGCTAAACCCTGGGCAAACACAGGGGAGGGAAACCCTGCCCTGCAGCCCCTGTCAAATAAAGAACCAAGAGACAAAGGTTGGGAGGGGAAAGTGAGGCCCTAGGGGAAAAGGGGCTGCACAAACACTGCTGCTTTGCTTTGGTTCTTTCTTCTCTTTCCAAAGATCACTACGCTTAAGATGACTGCTGGCTTGTTGAGGTCAGCAGTTACCTATTCCCCTGCTACAACCAACTCAGGTATTGCCTTGCGGGACTAAATATATTATGGGAGTGGCCTTCTCTTTTCTTTAGTCTTATAGACAAAGCTGCTCTTGGCGTGGAGAGGTGTAGACACAAACAGAGATCAGCGTGGCCTTATGACATAAAGTGACTGAAAGGTTGTCTGGATCAATTTCTGATGTAAAAGCCTTTATCGTGCACTTTGGAGCAATGCAGACTCGTGGCTCTGAGCTTGGTCAGGCTTGCAGCTATGCCAAACTTCTTAGCTGGTGGTGAAGGTAGGGCTGTCAGATGACTTTTTAAGCAGGCTTGCTCTAGCCATGATGTTTTACAAAGTTGGAAGTACTTGGGGTAAAGAAAAACCTCACCAGGCTTTGTTTGTGACAGGGGAAGAAAACATACAGCCTGGTGACATTGTTAATGTGACCAGCTCTGTGCTTCTGTCATCTCCAAGTTCAGTCTGTGGTGCTATGACAGAAAGTGCATAGGGGATAAAAGGTTTTATGTGGCATAAATGTGCTGGGACACTGCAGGGAAGGTGAAGGAACCCCCTTCACCTGCAGCCGTGGCAACGCCACACCTCAGCAGGTCTCAAGCACCTTCTCTGGCCAAACTCATGGCTGTTTTCTTACAGGAAGACCTTGCAAAGTGATTGACATATTTCATGGCTGAGCTTTCGTGTAGCCTGTGCCAAGGGCCATCCCTCTGTCTGTCAGGCTGCCCTTCCGTGGAGGTAAGAAGGAGAACAGCAGCCTCCTCTCTGCAGGGAAACGTGAGAGGATGGGGAAAGAGAGCTTTGGTAACTCATGCAGCCCTTGTGTAGCGCTGCTGCAGCAGACGCTGTGCCTGGGTGCTGCTCCACCTCTGCTAGGATCAGGCTTGAAGCTCAAAGTTAACATGGTCTTGAGACCTGTAGCTGCTTCTTTCACCGTTTTCCAGGAGAAACGCTGCTGGAGTATTTCCACTGGCAATGCTTTTTCCTGAAGGAGACAGTGTACAAGTAAATGCACAAGATCTTTCCCTACCTGCTCATTAAGGATGAAGGGAGATGTATGAGAGACTTTAGGTCTTAGTTGTGATCATTTGGATTCTGCCTCTGTTTTCCTCCTTTAACATAAACAAGATGACATGCTAATGCTTACCAGGGGTGGGAAGAGGGGCAAAGATGAATCCATGAATGCTTGAGAGATGTATGAGAGAGAACATGCTCGGAATGCCCAGAAGGAAGCTAATAATTGTGGCGTTTGGATGGAATTTGAAGAATATGGCCTGGGGCCAGACCCTGAATGAGGGGATAAAAAGAAATATTCAGCAACAACCCAATAGCTGAATGAGGCTGGGGCCCCATAGGAAGAAAATAGGATGTGATCACAACGTAAGAAACTGCATCGTAATGCAGCCACGAAAAGCGGGGGAGAGAAGAGGGGATTAAAGTTGGATTGGCATTTTCTTACACTATGGTTTTGCAACCTCATTTTGTTCATCAGAGCTTTGGGCGTGCAATACAAAATACACAGGTCTCCTTTGGCTGCTTCTGTGAGAAGCAGAAAATGAGATGCTAAAGATCTTGTCTTAGATCAATATTTAACCACAGAAAGTTCTCTTTGTGACATGAGGTGAAATTTTAAAGCACTCTGATTGTTTAAAGCCCCTTGGTGGCAATGGCAAACGTCCTGTAGCTGGTTAAAACCTGGTACTAGTGGTAGCAGCACCAAGGCTCAGCTTTAATGTGGCAGGAGTAGGACTGTGAGGGCAAGTTAAGAAATCACTGTTCCTACAGGTCAAGTAAATGGTAAACAGATTCATAAAGGAAACACAGCAGGAACACATAAATGCAAAGCCATCTCTGTAAGTTTCCTGCTCAGTGTCTGGAACAGAGCGTACATCTGTATGCAAATGCTGGGGTCTGAGTACTTTAGGAAGCGTGCTACATCCAGCACTTCTTAATGATCCCCACGGCAAATGTAAGGGGTACTACAGCTGTCCTCAGAACATATCAAGCAAGTCTGAACACTGAGTTTTCCTATGGCTGGCTGCTGGAGCTTACTGACCCTAAGAGAATATAACTGAGTGCCCTAAGTGTCCTGCCTCTACCCTAATGCAAAACTAAAGCAGTGGAATAACACTCTTTCGTGAGCTTCAAACCACAGGGCCCTGAGGACAGTGAACATAAACTGGATGGAAATAACTGATATTCCAGCCATGTAAACTCATGTGCAGTGTGACTCAGTGCTGCAGAAGATGCCAGCCTGACCGCTCTGACTTACAGTGCATGAGACAACCACCCTGCACACACACTTAGTACATTTGTATGTCCAACTGCCTGCAGGAGACGCAGGCAATTTCTCTGTGGTAGCAGCTGTTCTTCCAGATGTCTAAAAAGCAGCTGTTTACCTCAAGCTCAGAACAAGAGCTATGTGCTGTGTCGCAGTTCTATAGAGTACACAGAATGTGACTGTACAGCATTGAGAGATCACTGCTACAGACTCGACTGGGACTTACTGATGTGCCTATCTATAGCATGAAGTCTGTCTTCCATATGACATGGCATCATACAGTCATGTTGGACTAGATGACCCCTGAAGGTCCCTTCCAACCAAAACTATTCTATGAGTCTATGTAACAGTACCATCAGTACTTGAGAACCGATTCGGCTGAGTCATGTTCTAAACGATCTTGCTCTGCAAAAGCAAGAAGCACTCCTATTTGGTAACTACTGGCATTGATTACAACTCGGCTCTATGCTGGGGAGGAATGCACAAAGCTCTGAACAGGAAATATTGATAACTTTTCTAATGCATTTGCCAGCACTGTCAGCCACAACCATTTAAAAACCAGGAGGCGAGATTGAGATTAGACAGTTAGGAAGAAGTTCTTCCCTGTTCTAACTATGAGAGTGATGAGGTGCCTGTGGCAGGGGGTTGGAATTGGATGAGCTTTAAGGTCCCTTCCAACTCAAACCAGCCTGGGATTCTATGAAGTTAAAGCTGTCTATATTTAGGTAAGAATTTTCTACTTTTTATTTTCCTGATTGTTTGTGACCATTTTTTTATTACATTTTACTGTTGGGTTTTCTTAACATTTATTAATTTCAGATTCTGAGGTGGTAAAACCTGAATCCAGCATGGGGCAATAAATAACTGCACAAACTGTCCAGAAAACTTGGTATGCTGAGGTATAGAACACTGCAAACAAAGCTATCCAGCCTGTTGCTCAACTCAGGCCCCATAGAAGCAGTAATTGATGAACTGGTATATATTCAGACATGTATTTATGAAGGGCAGGATTAGCCCAGCTATAAATGTCATGCTGTGCACAGCTATAGAGTGATTCCAGTTAAGTGAGCCAAGTAGCATCAATGTCAACTTGGAGTCCCTTACCAGCATTACTACCTCGTTTGGAAGCAGAACTGTATATAGTTTAGTCATGTGGTGAGGAGATGCGTATCATGTTTGCGTGGATTTGCTGTTTAGCACTAGTAGTGCTGCAGGAAATGCTGAAGAACCCTGTCTATTAAAATTACACTGAGTTAAGCTGAACAGTGAAGACGGGTTGAGAGATTTAGGCTTGCTCTGCTGGACATGGAGGCAGCAAACTGCGAAATACTGAGGGATAATGCCATAAAGGATGCTCACAGTTAGGTTCCCATCTTTGTAGCACAATAGCAACGTAGGAACCAATAGTAATTCTTAGTAAGGAGGCTGGGTATCTTAGTAATGTTTCTGGAAAGATGAGCATGGCTCCCTGCAGGCACTTTGATCCAATGCCATCATCAGGGTCTGCTTATTGCAAACAAACTTTTAAGACTTGTACATTGCTGACAGCATCAGGAATTCATTACAGGGCGAAAAACCCTAGTTTGTGCAAGTTTTCGTCTGGGAAAGGGGAAAAAGTGATGTTTTTGCAAGCAGAGATGGGCAGAGTGGGTAGGAAAGGTACCAACAGCGGCCTAAATGCTGCCGAGGTGAGCCGAAGCCTTGGAGCGGCTGAACATCCCCTCGTTGGAACCCGCGGACTGGCCGCGGCCGCGCCCCACCGGATACGGCGCGGCGGAACCGGTGGCACCGCGTTCGCACCGGCGGGTGCTCCCCTCCGGAGATGCGCGGAGGGTTGGGGTGTGTGGAGGGGTGTGTGTGTATTTTAGCCCCTTCAGCCGGGTTCCGCCCGAGCACCTGCGGCCCTTTGCCCCGCCTGGCCCCCGCGCCCCGCGCTACTCACGCCTGAGACATGGCGAAGCGCAGCGGAGGCCGCCGCGGAGCCCACACCGGTGCCGAGACCGCTCGGAGCCCCTCCGGCCTGGCCCCGGCTGGCAGCGGCCTGTCCGAGGCCCGGGCAACCGGACGCCTTGCGTGCGCCCCGCCGTTACCGTGGAGACAGGGCCGCGAGATGCGTGCACGTTATAGCCTGCCGGTGCTGCTGCGCAGTGTATGGACGGTCCGCGTTTCATCGCGTTTTGCCTCTATTTTTGTTTCTCCGAGCACCCACGGAGACAAGTTTGTAGTGGTTTTCCATCCCCTACTGCTTAAAAACACGGTGCTTATTGTTTGTGGGGTTTTTCCCCCTTGCAACAGCTGGAAACCCGCCTCGTGTTCTGTACTTCCTCTCCCCGTTGTATCCCCGAACTGAGCACATCTGGATGCCAAGGGCGGCTGGGCAGTGACCGCCGAGACCTGTGTCTCCATCCCACCTATGGGTACTTCACCCTCCTAGCTGGATGTGCTCCGGCTTTGGGTTTTACAAATATTAGCAATGGGGGAATGGGAGCCACTAATCGTTTTAATTCACTGTTTGTGCATGGGGTGAGAAGCATCTGTTGTAGGACATTAAAAGGCTCCTTATTGAAAAAAAGGGGGAATCAAAGCTAGTGAGACAGGATTACAGCACATTACAGGGGTTTGGGGGTGGAAAATGCACTCCTCGACAGCGCAAGTGGGGAAGGGGGAAATGGAGCAGTGTGGGACAATGAGTGCTCTGCCAGCAGTCACATTTTAGACATAAATCTCAGGATGTCTGTGTTCCTTTCCTGGTTTTATGTATTTATACCCCCCCCGCCCTTGAAGCCCCATCTCACATAATTAGGTGAGAGTCTTGGCTATCAGCTTCTCAAATCAAGTTCCTAGCCCCCATGGCTTTGGAGGAGAAGGTTTCACATTGAAACTATGAACCTTAAAGGACCAAGACCATAACAAAAAGCATCTGAGGTGTGTTATTTTCTGAGCCATGTGATGGTCATGCACGTTGCACAATTGCTTTTGATGTATTGGATTGGTGGGGTTTTGTTAAGAGTAAGTGAGCTTTCAGGACTTGTTTGCTTTTTCTTTTGGAGGGGTGTAAAATCAGCATGGGAAAGTGGTTCTTCATGCTGCTGCCGTTTACATCAGAAACTTGCTTGCTTCCTTTCAATGCCTGAAGATCCATCTGCAGGTTAGGGGGGGCTCTCAAGCAGTAACTAACTTGTGTTTGGTTCATGTTTAATACCTTAACTGAGTCTTTGCAGCCCAGATGGGAACATCGCATTTGTATTTTCATCAGTGTGGGCATTTATGCATCCCTTTTTCTGCTGAACTATTCCTTTTCCAGCCAGAGTTCTACCCGCAGAGTCCCAGCAGTGCTGTTTCCATCGGAGTGTGTGGTTTTAAGGACCAATTTGGCCATAACCCCTAAGCAATATACCCTTTCCCATAGACCTTAAGCTATCGTTCACAAATCTCCAAGAGAAAGGGAGTAACTCTTGTGATTCAACAAGTAAATTCAGGAATTGGAGTCAGAATAGAAAATGACTTTGTTTTTCTTATTCTGGAATGCATCAATCAAAAGTAGCTTCTAAAATTAATAGCTAAGCAATATTTGAGACAACTGAGAAGCCTTCTGAAGCAGTTGGAAGTCAGAGCAACAAGATTGGTTGATACGATGTGGATGTTAATTATTAATCTGAATTTATTGCCCTGTGTTAGCACCTCATTGTCACAGTGCAATGGATGGTCTTTATTGTGTTAGAAACTGTATTAAAGATGGAGTGCCCATTGCTGACTTCCAACACCCCAAAAAGCAAACATCTTCCTTGAAAAGATGGGAAATTAAGCTACAAAAAAGTGATGCAGTAAAATTAATTATGAAGTAAGCGGAGTTGATGTTTTTGCTTGTTTTCCATGGGAAAGGAGCCTGCTTTGTAGCCAAAATGGGAGTAGCATGTGACTGAGAATAGTTTAGCCTAAGAAAATAGACACCTATAAACGGAGTAACTGGGGAGTGTGAGAGATCCTGGTTTCCTGTAGGTTTCCAGTTAAATCCTTGAGTTTGAAGTGAGAGGATGCGTGTCTGCCTGGGCAGTTTGGACAGTGCTATCCTCAAAGGACTGCCCTGTGATGTGTTTTCTATCATGGCAGCATCTTGTGCTTCAGGTTTGGCACAGGAGCTCTCCATCCCCATCTCCAGCTTTCTGCTCCTTTATCTCCCTTCTCATCTCTTCCCCTGGAGCACTGAATTGCAGCTGAGGTCCAGGAGGCCATTGGTCAGGCAACACCATGAAGCGTCTCAGTCTTTCCAGTCTAGGATCACATATCTCCTATAATCTGTACAGGCACCAACCATCTGAGATCTCTAGGTACCAGCAGAGATTAAAGGATTTGTAGCTGTTACTCCACACATTGTATGTTTCTGTATAGCACTGATAGCGACTTCCTTGCCCAGATTGTGTTGCATTAATAGAACTGTGTTATTTAATCTATCCAGCAGGAATAGGTGATGGGTTTTATACAGTGTGTTACTTCTGGCATCTATAATTCCTTAGGCTCTTGCAAACATGAGCTTAAAAGTTCTGCTGCCTTGGAAACTAGGTGCCATCATTTTTAAAGAAGTCTTTTATTAAAAGCTTAAGAGGCGACTACTGAGCTTCCAAAGGGTGAATGTATGAAACTGGAGGGCCTTGTCCCTGGCAAAGAGCTTAGTGCACCTGTCTCTTATTGAGTAAGGGCTTAAGTAAAGCAAGGAACATAATAGGAAAAATATCCTGCCTTTGCAACTCATATTTCAAAGCACTTACAAAGGTCTGGATTGTCCTTCAAGGCCCAGGAGTGGGGTTTTTTGTGTGCGTTGCTGGACTAAGAGCATGCAGCAGGAGAGGCTGCGTGGTCAGGGTTTTCTCCATCACATGGAATGGATGACTTGAGGCTTTGGGGGTAAAGGATACTGTTGCTTCTTTGGCCATAGGGACAGACATGGGATATCTGTGCTACACCTTGCTGAGGTGTAGGCTGTGATGTGCTCTATGAGGCATCTCTGGCTGACATGAGGGGTTGCTGAAGGGGCCCATTTGCATGCTACCAATGAGCTGGATGAAATGGGTTATGAAGAAGTGCCAGGAGGATGGGTTTTCCTGGATGTCTCGCACTGAAAAGCCACCTTGCTCCAGAGACCTACCCCAGAGTGCTGGTGCACCTCTCATCCTGTAGGACTTGACAGAGAGCCTCTCCTGGAAAAGATGGAGGCTGTGACAGCAGGGCAATTGGTCCCAAGGGAAGACCTGGTTACAGCTTAGTTGGACAGGAAAGTGAGGGGTAGGAGCTCTGATGGGCAAGTCTGGGAGATGCTGCTCTGGGCTTCGTTGCTGGTGGGCATTTGTTTTACCTTTAGGCTTGGATTAAAATGTGTAAAGGAGCTCTGGGCAGCTTTTTCCTGCACACTTGGGACCTAGGTCTGCCATGTGGCTTCAGTGCTGGCTACCAGCTCATGCTGACAGCCAGGAGGGATAGCTCTGCCAGCTGGGCTGTGCTGACCGGTTCATTTAGCCTTGCAATCCACCATTGAGCTATTTTTCCAGCTAACATTAACTACTGGATGTACAGAAGGTTTGCTGCTTACTTCAAGGCTAAGTGAAGGGGATTTGTCGGCAGTCAGGTCTGTTAGGCTTTGATATAGCACCAGCGTGTTCATCAGGCCCGAGCATGGTACATGGAGGAGGAGGATTGGAGCAGAATTAGAAGGTATAAAGTTCAGATCTAATTTGAAGAATTTTCTCTCTATCACTTAAATGTGGGAAATGTTCCTGTGGTTTCAGGTATAAAATGTCACACTTCATAAGGAGCGTGCGTTTTAAATCTCAGCCAGATATTAAATGCCATGCCGCACTCCACTTCTCTCTTTGTTAGAAAGTAAAACCCCAAATCATCTCTCCTGAAAGAATGTTGTTTGAGAAAATTAAAGCTTTGAAAAGAAGCTGGTTCAGACAGCACTGGCTGTCCATCATTAGGAAACATCAGGGACTGTATTGATTTGATTCTGTATTGACAAGTGTTCATCAGCATTCAGCAGTTTAATTATCTAGGATGCTGTTCTTAAAGCTGCCTGCTAGCACAGATCTAGCAGTCCATCCAGACTGATAATTAACATGCACCAGATGGGTTTTTTGGTGAGAAAGAGACAGAAAAAGGGATCAGGATCAGGCTTCTGGCCATTATCCAAGCCATTTGTCAGTGGAGGTTTTAGGAAAGTGGTTGGCTTGAACATTTGGCTTCAGCTAGGAAATTTGTGATAAATGAACACAAACACAGTGTCAGGCTTTAGTCACTTCAGGGGGCAAAGGTTGCTTCGATATTGTTCTGCAAAGCAAATACTGGAAATAAGTAGCATTTCTTTTGGTTGTGTAATGTGAAGATGCGTTCAGTATCGCATGTGAAATGGCACTTTGGGACAGACCCATCTCAGTTCTTTTAAGATGCACAGATTCTCTAACCATTTACTGACTTTATAGGCCCACCAGGCAGCAATATGAGATGTGTATAGTTCTCTCATGATTTTGATAGAAAAATGAGAAGAATTTTGACTGTTAATCCTGGCTACGTGTGCCCATGAATGACTGAAAACATCCCAAATTGTCATGGTTTTAAGCAAAGAGGAAATGCTACACAACATAAGCTTCTATCTATTCCCTTCAATGGCAGTGGGTTTTAGCTGACCTGAACCCCCTTATATCATAGTAAACAGGCAGGAGGTTTGCTGGGGAGCCCTGGGTGGGTAAGAGCTCAGAACAGCACAGTGCCGCTTGCTCTGGGGATGCAGCTCAACACGGTTCTGGGCTCAAGTACACACTGAAGCTGGGTCATGAAGAATCACTCTTACTCTGCTGCTCCAATCTGAAGTGCTGAAGGCTAAGATGGATGAGCAATTTCCACAATCCCTCCCCTATAATTGCCTAGCTCTTTCTGCTTAGGCACTGGGAAAATCATATCCACTATGTG